TGGTTTACAGCATTATCTTTTGATGCAGTTATTGAAACACTAAATCCAAAATTAAAGTAGATCAAAATTTTTTCTGATAATGGTGGTCATTATCACAACTCAAGGTTAATGACCATTATTTCAAATTGGAATCAATGGTACAATATTGATGTTTGTGGATGGCATTTTCTTGAACCTGGCGAGGCTAAAACTAGCGTTGACTCTCATCATGCACAGGTAAATCTGAATTTAATTCATAAACTAAATTTTTATTATTATTATTTTGAAATCTTGAAAATAGACTAGCTAATAAATAACTATTTCTCTTAAATAGCTCATGCTATCAAGCGATATATACGAGTTGGCTATAATTTAGATGGTGGTGAGAAAATTGAGAAAGCAATTAAAAATTTGAGTGGAACTTCTGTCACTCATTTGGATATAAAACATAATTACGTACCTGTAAAAACTATACCCGGTATTACAAAATTATTCTATTTTGAATGGCCAATCGAAGGTCCATTTGCTGGATATATTCAGGCTCAAATTTTATCACATGTAGGCGCATGGTCACGTTATTCACCAGCTAATATTTCAAAATTAGTTGAAGAACCTTTACATAAACCAACTCCTAATATTTCCACTCATACCAAGCTGAACTCAGCATGGAATTTTCACATAGTTCAAAGTAAAGGTACCGTTACAGTTGACAAATATCCTATATTCAAAAAAAAAAATAATAATAATAATTTTGTAAATACTTTTTAGGTAATATGAATAAAAACACAATTGAAATAACAAATAATAGTCAAATCTATTCTAGAGGTATTTTTATTTTTTTTATTTATTATTATGTAAATATTACAATTCGAAATTATCAACGTTATATAATATTTTATTATTGTAGACGTAAATGATATATTTTTATTAGAAAATAGGTGGGCGCTTAGAAATAACTATAAATATAGTCAAAGAGGTAGTGGAAAGTGTATAACAGCAATAGTGAAAACTTACTTAGAAGGATTTTTTTTGGCAGGAAATGTGAATAACGTAGATCAGATGTTTGCAAAAGATATGGTAATGCAATTAAATCAATTAGTAGAAGGTGGTAAAATTTTAGTAGACGAAATGTCAAAGATCAAAACAGTTAAAAGTTGGATTACAAGACATTTAGCATACTTACATAAAGAATCAGCAGAACAAAGGGTAATAGGTGAATCTCAGAATAAAGTAGCCAGCTTAAAACTAATAAAAGATCTCGAAAAAATATTGGTGATGATAGTAATGATAAGTGGCGAAAAGTATAATAATTTTACATTTAAAATTAATAGAATTTTTGAAATTTATTATATTTTAGTCAAGTCAAATCTTGGCTTCTTTCATATAAAAATTTTTGTTGCAGAAATTAAAACATTTATAATTAAATATATCGAAACTTCTAAATTCATTTTATCATTTCGCTAAAATTTTTTTTTAGGTTACACTTTTTTGTGCCACTTATATTATATGATTACTATGTATTAAGAGATTACTATATGATGATCATCCCAAAAATTTTATTATAAATCACTTTGATTGGTTGGCGGACTAACAATTAATTTTTTTATTTCTTAATTTTTAGTATAGAAAAATTTTATTAATAAAAATTAAATAATATAATTACTATAAAATCTATTTGTAATACTATTTAAATTTTTTGATTTTTGAAGATTCAAATATTATATTATAAGTATAATATAAAATTCTATTTTTATATTCTAAAATTTCTTCTATTGCAGGTTTTTTTTAATAAATTACCACCATTTTTAAGTGTTTTGCAAAAAAAAAATGAAACTTAATTATAATTTTTTTCTATAATAGAATAAGAAAATACTTTTAAATCTCATTTTTGATATTTTTCTAATAATTCTTATCTATCATATACCAGTGCATACATATAAAAAGTTATTTGACTTAGCATATATAATTCTTGTACAAATGTTTTTGAAAAAAAAGAATTTTCTTTTAATGATATAAGAAATAAAGATAACTATTCATATGACTGTTATTTTAATTATATTAGATTTGTTATTTTATTCTGAATAGAATAATATATATTGTATAATCATCCCAAATTTTTTATATTATTATGTATAAGATAGTCTAAAAAACAATTTTAAATTAAAAAATTGTAAAACAGTTTCTTTGTAATTTCCCATAATAGATGTATACTTTTAAATATGTGATTTTTATCTTTCTAAAAATGAAAAGATACTTTTAAATACTACATTTCATCCATAATAATTTTTCATGTTAAATCATTAAATCAGTTGTGTTTTTGAATTTCTGCAAGAATTAATTTTCAAAGCTGATCAGTAATTCATAAAAGAACATGTAATTCATTAAATAATATATAATTAAAGATAGTTTTCATAATTATTTTTGAAATTTTTAACTAGTTACAACTTAAGTTGCAACACTTTGAGTTGCAACTATTTATGAATTTTTATATGAAAGTAAATTTACAAGGAGTTGTAACTTACTGAGTTGCAACTTCTTAATTATGGTATCCATCATTATATATAATCAATTGAAATCATATCAAATAGTAAGGGATGAATATGACCATGAATTGATTATAATTTGTTACAATTTGTTCTATATTTTTTTAATATATCAATTTTTATTTTAATCTCTATTTTGATCCTTTGAATATAAATACTAAGGGCAAAAATATTTGGAATTTACATTATTTAATCCAAGACAAATAGCTAAAAATTTCCAATCTGCATTAAAGTATAATTCAAATTTTCATAATGTTTCAAAATGTATTAATTCAAATTCTTTAAATGATCATAATTTATTACAAAGAGGATTTGACATAAATTTACGTATACTATATTTTTTCAGTTCTGGATATAATGCTACAGTATAATAATAATTTGTATGATGATATCAAGTTTTATGATTTTAAATCATAAATGTTACAATAACATATTTATTTTTTTTTAAAATTTCACTTATTATCAGAAATACGTAAATGAATAATTGTATCTGTTAATTTTAATATTTTCTGTTTTTGTAGTTATAGATTGTATTTTTGTTGTAATTTTTTTAATACATTTTTCAAATATTGATAAAGTATAATTAATAGCTAGTTTAATTAAATTTCCTTTTTTCTTAATTCATGTACTTTATGTACACAGTTTAACTGCAACCTAAATACAAGAGAACCCAAAAAAATAGCTTTAATTTCTTAAGTTTAAAGCTCAAAAAAACAAATTAATAAATTACAATTGAGATTAATACAAATATTAGCTATTAAATAATTACTTTTAATAAGACTATATTTAATACAAAATTGAGATATATCATTTATATAATTAATTTCATAATTAATTATATAGAAGCCTGTTTCCAAATTGTTTTTACAATATTATCATATAGAACTTTATATTATTAAATTTTGTTTTTTCTAATATTGCTATTGTTTTGCAAAGAATTGGTTTTATTTTTTGTTTATTATTCAGACTAGTAATAATTTTGTCTGAGTAAATACACTCTTTTATAATAACATAACTAAAAGTACATTTTATTTTTTAATTTGCATGTTTTTGATATAAAATATCATTATTTAAGAAATATGTGAAAGCTTCTTCAATTTGAATACCAATATTTTTTGTATTACTATCCATACTTTATTAATAAACTTAATGCATATAATAAATGATTGTTATTAAAATTTAAAGCGTATGCACTTATTTTTATTAGTCAATTTACATATAAACTACATCTCTGAATTTTATTATTCTGTAGATTGGCAAATATGGAAATGATATAATATTAATTATTAAGGTTATTCTATTTCTATTAGATTATATTAAGGAATACATCACAGGTAATATAATTTTTTTTGTCAATAAATATTTAATCTTTTTTTCACCTTTCCCTTTAATATAGCCATATATTTTCAATAGAATTCAAGTCTGAATTGTAAGAAAGCTAAGAAAAAACTCTTTAGAAAATGTTTTTTCAAATTATGCTAAACATTTATAAGATATGTTTTGGATTATTATCTTATTTGAAGATCTAGCTGTGACTTATCATATTTATGTAATCATATAGATGATCATCTAAGATTTTTCAATACAAATAATGATCTAAATTTTTAATAAACAAATAAATGGCAATTTTTTCTTTAGTACTAATTACTACTCAATTATGAATCTTAAATGAATGCTTTACCATAATGGCAATTGGTTACATATTATAAGACTATACATATATGATATTTCTAAATATATAAAATATTATTTTATTAGAAAAATAACTTTCTTTTAGTTGTAATGCAAATGATTATATGACCTAAACATGGAACTTATAAAGATATAACCAAGACTTTTGAGTTATAATGTATCATAAGAATTAAAATTGATTTAATCAAATTGAATTAATCAAAAATTGAATTGTATCTAATAGAATTGATTAATCAAATCTAAAAATTGAATCTTAATAAATTAAATTATTTTATATTTTAGCATAGCAAAATAAACTATATTACTATTGTAATTGTTCTTAGTAAAAAAATAATATCAGAATTATTAGAATTACTAAAAAGAATCAACATTGATGATCAATATATAATGATCAACATAAATATTACAAATTAATAATATTGTTTATAAACTTTACATCATTTATAAACTTTATTTTCATTTTTCTAACATTTACAAAAAAACATGGCTATTACTATGTAAAACAAGCATAAAAAATTAGTTAAAGAAGTAGAAATATAGAGATTAGTACAAGAAGAAGAGGATAATACTGATTCTAATTATAAAACTAATTTATTTGAATCAAAATAAGAAGCTAGTTACTAAACTATATCTGATAATAAGATAGTTGATATAATAAATATAACTGATGATAATAATGCAAATACTAGTATTAGAAAAAATATTTTAAAAAAAGAAAGCCTTCTAACAAAATTATAAAACCTAAAATAAGTTAGATATGAAACTTCTTTAAAGAAACTGAAGGTAATGCTAAAGTTATTTGTCAAATTGAAAGTTGTGAAAAAATACTTAAATGGTATAGTTCTTCAAATTCAATAAAAACATACTTATTAAATATATACATATTACTAAAGGTATTATAGCAAGTTATCAGGAAGCATTACAAAAAGATGATCATAATCTTATTAGTAGTATAATTGAAGAAGAAAATTCTAAGTCATTTCCTTATTCTAAACAAGAATCATTAACTAAAAATGTGATTGGATTTGTTATTGGTATAATGCAATTTTTGAGTATTATAGAAGACAAAGATTTTATTAAAATGATTAATGAATTTGATTTATATTATAAGGTTCTTATTTCAAAACTTTTAAAGATCAAATTTCATCAGTATATGAAGCAAGAATAGATAGAGTTAAGAATTAACTTTTACAATTAGAAAGTATTTCTTTAATATTGAATACTTGGAGTATATCTATACATACATCTTATTTAGGTATTACAGCATATTGGATAATATTTAAATTTGAATCATGTGAATTACTTCTTAGTATGAAAGAATTGTTATATTCACATAATGTAATTGAGATTTAGAAGCATTTAGTTAATCTGTTTGATGAATAAGAAATTAATTCAAAAATTACAGATATAATAACTAATAATAATTCAAATATAATGAAAGCATGTGGTAATATGAATATTAGTGAAAGAATTTCTTGTGCTTTAAATATATTACAATTAAATATTGAAAAAGGATTGGATATAGCAAAAGTATTGATTAACAAGTGTAAAGATCTTATTGTTTTTTAGTAAGTAATAAAAAAATAATAATTAAGAAAATCACAAGTTTATTTGTATCAACAAAAATAATTACAAAAAGATGAAAAAGAATTAGAAAAAGAAGCTGAAAAACTTTTTTTTTTAATATAATAAAAGCCAATAATAGAACTCAATATTATATGCATTTTGATTTATTATTCTTAAACAAGCAATTTCAATGTTAAAACTTTTTTTAATTAATGATAAAAGTTTACATACTTGTAAGAAGTGTGAAAAATTAGAGGAGTATGATTCCTTTGCATAATAGGTAACAAATAAAACCTAGTATTTTATATTATATAAATAGCAATGAAGTAACTTTCCATTCTGATTACCTCTGTATCATCAGAAAAACTTTTTCTAATACTAATAATTTAGTTACTCTTCAAAGAAATTGCTAAAATTCTAATAAAATTATGTTTTTAAAAATAAATAAGAATTATGTAAACAAATTTAAGGTGAAAAAATAATTCATTAGATTAGAAGTGAATTTTAAATTTTAGTTTTTTTTGATAATTTTGTATTAAGTAATTTAATATATCAAAATAAATAAAATTTATTATAAAATGATTTTAAAACTTTATGTTACAAGATCATTGAAATTGCTATATCATGAATTCATAAAAAAAAAAGATTGGTATTGCAAAATTATTATATACTAATTCAGTTAAAATTTGATTAATTGAAATCAAAAATTGAATTATCAATTGAATCTTAGAAATAATTAATCAAAACTTTAATCAATTTTTAAGATTTAATTTTTGATTGAATCGATTCTAATCCCTAATGTACCATATATTAACTAATTTACGATTATAATCATTTTCTTCTAATTTAGCTTTAAGTTCATCTATTGTAATAAAATGATTATGTTGCAGAATTTTTTTAATATAGTGGTATTGATTTGAGGCTGATCTTTTTGGATAGCCAGAAGAGTGAATGATTATAATATTATCAGTTTTATTTAGTAAACATATATATTGGCTTTACATTATGCATTTTTTGGTCCTAAAATAACTTAATAGAATTTTATTATATTTCTAAAGAGCTTAACATAATTTTAGAAATAAAATTAAAATAAAAACAAATAACAAATCTTATTTTTTTAATCTACCTTTTAAATTAGAATTCTAATATCTGATTTAGTATATGTGATATATTAACTATTACAATAGGTTTTGTAAATATATAATTTAATTGAATAGGTATAATTTTATATTAGATATTCTAACAATTTAATAAATTTTATACTTTTTTAATTCATCTTAAACATTTATTAAAAATCTCATAAATTTAAAAATTAGATTCTTTAAAATAAAACAAAATTAAAATTAAGTTTACTTAATAAAAATAAATAAAATCATAGAATTTTAATTTAATAATAATGTTACTTACAGTTCCTAGTGAAAAGAATAATGATAAAATCTGCATCTTTTTTTAGGTTTCAGATTTACCATTTGGGTTATGATCTAAAAAATTCAAGTTCTGAAAATTTTTTAATAAAATTGAGATTTTAATTGCAATTTAATTTTTAATATATTTAGATTAAAATATAATAAGATATTAATTTTAGTCAAAAATTTCTCAGAACTTGATTTTTTTAAATCACAATCCATTTTTCAGAATTAAGCATTTATTATAAGTCTAAAGAATTAGCAAAAAAATATTATAAAATAAAAGTTTCTTGTGAATATGAAGTTGTTTGTATTAATTTATTAAAAAAATAATAAAATTAAAATATTTGATAAAAATTAATCAGTAATATTATATGTAATTGTAAAATAGTAGGAGAAATTATTAAAAAAGTAGCTTTAAATAAAGTAGCTGATTTAAAATCAAAGCTATGATAGAAATGCAATAAAATAAATTATACTAATATTAGAAAATAGTAGTTTATAGCCAGCATAAAAATCCTTTAAATTCATTTGTTAATAATTATATTTATAAAGGTGAAAAAAATCTAAATCCAGAAGCATTAAAAGTATTCGTTAAAGATGAGAATTCTATTAAAAATAGAATATATAGGAAGTTTGTTAGGAAAATAAGGTTCTGAGAATTTTTTATTAAAATTTTAATTTTATTGCATTTTTTTTGCTAATGTTAGATTAATATGCAATGAATCTTAAAATTTTAATAAAAAATGCTCAGAGCCCATTTTCCTAACAAACCTTCTATATGATTACGCTAAAGTAAATTTTTCTTAGATTACTAAATTATATGAATAATTTAAAAAGAAAATAATATAGATAATGATAGAATAATTGATATATTATTTTGTGCTAAAAACTATGAAGCTAATAGATATTCTAATAATGATCAATTTGATTAGATATTAGGTTTTATTTATGAAGAGAATATAGTAAAAAATAAATATTTATTTTATCCTGAATATAATATTTTGATAAAAATAGCATCAAATTCAATATAGTATTAATTGTTAAAGACAGTATGTAATACTGTAATACTTGATTTAAGTAAAGATGTCATTTGATATATCAATGCAATTACCTTAACTAAAAGATAGCCAGAACAATTAAAAAAACAGAAATTTTGAAAAATTAGTTTAGAAAACATTAATTTATCTTATTAAATTTTTTATTTTTTATTAATAAAGTTTTTATAAAAAATTCAATTCTTTATTTATAAAATTTTATGAAATGATTCTTTTTCAATTTTTTGTGATTTCCAATTTGAATGAAGGAATATAAAAAAAAATAATTACCTATGATTCAACTTTAATTATTCATTGATTTAACATCTTTTACCTAAGGTTTAATATTATAATTCAATATTTTTAATTTTATATTAGTTATATATAATTTTAAAAGTGTAAAATCATATTAGCCAATCAAATTGCTAAAGATTATATCACCTGTTTAATATATACTTATGATTTTATCATGTCATGCAATTTTGTTTATTTATTTTTTATTTATTTTATAATCTTTTATAATATTTTTTACTTAATTTTTCAGATGAAAATTATTTATTTTTTACAAATGTTGAAAATTTTTTTATCTCATAATGGAATCAATTTTAAATACCAGAAAAAAGAATCTGTAGAAACAAGTTGCAATAAAATTATATATATCATTTTTTTTTAAACACTTATGCCAACTAATAATGCAATATATACTTTTAATTATAAAATTTCTGGGCACTTAACTGTCACATGACGCAGTAAATTTCAAGTAGTAAAGTTATATTATGTAATTCTTATAATTTTTTTATTCTACTTGAATTATTTCAAAATATTCTACTCTATAATTTAATAAATATTAGAAATAATTTCAAAAAAGAAAGTAAAAAAACCTATTGCTTTCATTCAATGTAACACAAAAATTATGTCTGAAAAATTATGCAGAAATATAAATTAGAATCGGAAATGTTTTTTTTTCCTTAAAAAAAATATTAAAAACTAGCTATCACTATCCTATAATAATTAAACTCTGCTGCTAATAGTTACACAACAATATGGAATTACCAACCGCATGGGATATTAAAAATAATTTCTGATAAACTTATAGTGAATTATGAAGGTATGTTTATTACATTTTATATGTATAACAATTCTAATTTTACTGTTTTCGTATGAAATCACTTATCCTTGCATAACTACAATTATTAACAAATACAAAGGTCTGAGTGGAGAAGAAAACTGTGCTGCAATTCGAGAAAATTTACCTATTCCTGAACAATGTGGATTATTTTATTTTGAAGTTGACATTATAGATAAAGGGGAAAATGGGTATTTTGTAAAACTTTGAAATACAGCTTTTTTCTGTTATATATAAGTTGATTATTTAAAATTTACCAATTATTTTGACAAATTTTCCATAGTGGATTGGAATCGGGTTTTGTACGAAATCAGGTAATTTTACTCTTCTTTTATTAGCTTAATTTTTTTAAATAAATTTATTTATTGAATTATTTATATTGTAGGCTGGAAAGATAGCTCATAGGGTTATCATGGTGATGATGGAAACTCGTATTTTAAGCTGATGGTGAACCATACGGAACAGATTTTATGACCGGTGATGTTGTTTAAACTTTAGAAATAATAGAGTTTTTATACAAGAAACGGAATAAATCTAGGTATATTACAATTTCTTGGTTGTTTTAGGTTAAATAATAGATATTTAATATATATAATCATCAGATGCTGAACACACACTAAAATACCGAGGTGAATATGAACACGCACTTTCAAATTTGATAAGTTGCTGGAGTTTGAGGCAAATAATACATTTGCATTAAGATATCGAGGAGAAACTTTTTATATAATGGAAAAATATGAGGAATCACTTGCAGATTTTAAACAAATTACTAGAAATCAAAGCAAACGGTATATGCCTGTGAAGAAATTACTAAGATGTATAAGATTCATTCGTTTATTTATATTAATTATTTAAATATATATCATTTAAAATTTTATAGGAGATGCTGTAATTTAAATTCAACTATTTAAAAAAAAAAATTTACCTTTTAGATTGTAAGTTATTTTATTGATTACTTTTTTTGATCATTCCAATCAATTCTAATATACAAGGAAATTAACGCGCCACTAAATTTTGATTTTTAATTTTTTTTATTAATTTGATTTGGGTAGAATCGTTACAATCCCTACAACAAATGGTTGGTCGACATGAGAACTTATTATATAACTACACAGTGTGCATAATTTTCATAAAACATGAGAAGGAAATAATTTCTACAAGAGTTAATTTTCACGTTCATTAATTTTATTTTTAAAGACAAATTCGTTCGTGTATACAGTAAATTATGTTATACTTAATTAAAGATACCAATTTAAAATCTTAAAACCATGTATTCAAATATATAAATAAAATTACCTAAATTACACTATTATCAATCCTTTTTTTTATTCCTTAGGTGAAGCTTATTAGATCTAGCCAATGGATATTAGCAAGTGGCTATGCAACATATCAAGGTAATAACTTTACTTACTTACGTGAATATATTTGCACCAGACCAAGATTATTACTTTTAAAGAATAGGTAGTATACTAAAAATAGAATTTCTAATACAATTAAATGCGATACGACGTAAACTATTTTCTGATGCGCATTTATTCTCCAATAGTATAAAAGTTTGTAGTAAGCTTCCAATAAAAGTAGTTTTATTAGAAAATTATGTTCCCAATAGCCATTATTGCTCTATATGAATGGCATGATATGCTGCCATATCCTTGGTAAAAAGATTATATTAAATTTTTACTTAGCTGCGGTGAGAATAAACGTCTCCAAATAAAAGAAATTTTATTAAAGTTCATTCCGTCAATTGATTAATGACAGTCGAAAATATATTAAATTTTATAAACAAAACCTAAAATTTTTTTTTTAGTAATGTCGTTTTATAAAAAAAAAAATAATTTCATTATTTAAAGATTACGGGATCGGATCGCTTTCTGTTGTTAAATCTGAATAATTCGAAATTTTTTTGGTTACTATTATACACCAATCAGGGGGATGATATATATATATTTTGTATTTTCAATTTCTGAATATTCCAAATACTAAGTATTATATTTACTGTATATTAATTGCAACATATTCTCTAAACAAAATAAAAAAATTAAATTTTAATATTAGTTATTATAAATATGTTAATTGTTTTCCGGATATCTAATTTAATCGATATAAAAGGTTATTAAAGTAATTGTTTGAAGTATAGATAAAAAAAAGTAATCTCAAAACTGCCATACGAATGTATGAAATAAATGTTACATTTTGCCGTAGATTTGAAAAATTGAAGTCTTATTGGTAGGGCTATCCATAATGACCCCTAGTTAATTTGTCCTTAAATAATTAATAATACAAAATGATGGCCTTTCGATCGATTATGATAGTTAGACTAGCCGCATTAATTACGCCATGACATTATTAAATAAATTTAACTTCGAGAGTTGATGTATAGAAAGTACTTGATAGATTTTATTAAATAAATCTTGAATCATGCTTACCTAATTTAAAAGTTTATGCTTACTGGACTATTATGGTCGTCTTGTCGTTTGAGTCGATACATAATTGGTGACTTTTGTCACACATGTATGTTCTCCAGACTTAACATATTAAAAAAGAAAATAACCAAGACGTCAAAAAGTCACGAGAAATTAATCCTACGCAACGATTTCATCGTGCAAACATTTATCAAAATAATATTTCAAATATTTGAAAAGAAAATTCCAAGTTTGTATGTGTCATAATCCAAATTTTTTTAATTGAAACATTCTTATTTTGCAGTTATCATATAGGATTGGAATTGACTTTTCATAAAAAAAGAAATTAACGCTTGATTTTATGTCGGAAAAAAAAAAACACTTCGTTGCATATGGACGATATGATCTTTTTATCCTAATCAATAAATACTATGAAATATCTTATTTAATAATTACTAAAAAAAGAAGTCTCGTGTTGAAGTTTTTTATTTATTTTATTTAAAGAAATACACTTTAATTTGATTTTTAAGTATCAAACTATATACCAACCAATAACAGGAGAAACAACATATTCATCATCGATCTTATCCTGTCTAGCACCCAAAAAACCCGCAGCGATGCAAAATCTGAAACGCTTCCCCATGTTAACCATGTCCAAATTAAATGGGACGTTCAACAATCCAGAAGGTAAATCCGTAGGAAAAATAAAATTTTCCGTTAATTTACATCGTGAAGCATTATATGGAAACAAAGCGGATATCCATCCATCCCAGCGAGCCTCTGTGAAACTACCATAAGGAACCTGATAAATCGCCACGCTCCAAAAGTTTTCTTCAACTTCTCCCTTATATGTGGCAACAAATTGAGCGACTACTGGTTGTAATCTATCCAACCAAAAATCAAGTTCTAATCCTAAATCACGGAGTTTTGCGACTTTATCTTGAAGATGTAACCAATCTTCCAAAGTACCATTAAGGGTAATCTTTGGAATACCACAACCACCAACAAGCCTGTAGCGAAAATACTTTTTCATTGCATCTAATAATATAATTTTGCTTACCGTGACGGATACATTAGTTGACGTAGAAAAATCACATTCGAGAAGTTGTTTTAAGCCAACTTTTTTGACTCGTTTATCTAAAGAATCTGAAAGCCGAGAGATCGCTTGCTGCCAATCACCCATAAAATTTACATCGATAATGTCACGAGCGTCTATAAAGATTTCTTCCTGTTCTTTATGTTCGACAAACAGGTTACGAAAACGTTCAGCATTATTGCAAATGTGTTTACTGACACCTTGTGCAATTGTCAACCATACATCGTCTGGTGATATTCGAAGATGTTGGTGAAGCGTATAAGCATGAATGATAGCTGAGGCTAATCCATGTGAAGTAGCAGGTTCCGCGATTATAGAAGTTGGATTAGAATCCGAAGTTTCCGCGTAGTCTAATGAAAAAGCACATGTATTGGTCCTTTGAATAGAATTTACTGCGTATTCTAATATAATGTCACGTGATTTGGTCCTTTGACTAAAATAGGTTTTAATCTCTTCATGTCTAAGGAATTCATTCTTTGGGTCAACTGTATCAGTTAATTTTTGGGTACTTCGTGGTGAATTCATTTTTTATTGCTTCAAAACTAAAAGGTCTTTTGGGTATTTATTTATATTTCTTACAAAATAATAAAGCATGATCATGGAAATGTGATACCATCCATTAAGGGATAAGTTTTCTGCACCAAATCGTTTTACGTATAAATTACCGAGTTACCGAGATTTTTACGTAAAATCTTTAAACTGTAAATATTAAAGAAAAATACGCAAACAACAACATATGATCGTAAACGTTATGATTTTTGTTAATGATGTAAAATATCGTCGTTCGACGTAAAACTATCTAATTTTACCAAATCCTTGGGCATTCGAAATTTCTATGTAATATTATTGATTACTCATTAAAATTATATCATTCTTACAAAAATTTCAATGGTCCATCTTTTTAAGGATTGTTGCTAACCAAGCTTTGATGCTGACTCAAGTAATGTATTACAAATATTAATGCTGCTGCTATCATTGCTAATACAGTGGCTTCCAAAAAAAACGCACCAAAATCCGATTATTTATAAGATCTTCATAATACATCAATTTTAATAATACTTGATAAATCGGAAAATTTTTTATCACGTGATTCATTATTAAATGATGGTGGCGCTTTCGCAAATATAACAAATTTATTAAATTTTTTTAAAAAAATTAAATTAATCACAATTAAAAATTTCACCAAATATTCTCACCATCGAGTATAACCACCTTTTGCTTTGATTACATCATTTATTCTTTCT